TGAGAGAGGAGCCCACACCAGAGCAGGTTTGTTGGCAGGACTTGTGACTCTGTGGGTGACCCACGCTGGAGCAGCCTGTGCCTGAAGGACTGCACCTGTGGGAAGGACTCACGCTGGAGCAGTTTGTGCAGAGCTGTCTACCATGAGAGGGATCCCACACTGCAGCAAGCGAAGAGCATGAGGAGGAAGGAGTGGCAGAGACAACGTGTGATGAACTGACTGCAACCACCATTCCCATCCCCCTGTGTCTCTCGAAGGGAGGAGGAAGAGAATACAGGAGTAAAGTTTAGCCTGGGGAGGAAGGGAGAAGTGGGGGAAAGGAATTTTTAAGGTTTGGTTTTAATTCTCATTATTCTACTTCAATTTGATTGGTGATAAATCAAACTACTTTCTCCAAGTTGAGTCTGTTTTGCATATGACAGTAATTGCTGAGTGATTTCTCCCTGTGCTCATCTTGACCCCCCGCACCCGGCCCGTCCTGTGCCTGAAGCACTGCACCTGTGGGAAGGACTCACGCTGGAGCAGTTTGTGCAGAGCTGTCTACCATGAGAGGGATCCCACACTGCAGCAAGCGAAGAGCATGAGGAGGAAGGAGTGGCAGAGACAACGTGTGATGAACTGACTGCAACCACCATTCCCATCCCCCTGTGTCTCTCGAAGGGAGGAGGAAGAGAATACAGGAGTAAAGTTTAGCCTGGGGAGGAAGGGAGAAGTGGGGGAAAGGAATTTTTAAGGTTTGGTTTTAATTCTCATTATTCTACTTCAATTTGATTGGTGATAAATCAAACTACTTTCTCCAAGTTGAGTCTGTTTTGCATATGACAGTAATTGCTGAGTGATTTCTCCCTGTGCTCATCTTGACCCAGGAGCCTTTCATCGTACTTTTTTCTCCCCTGTCCAGTTGAGGAGGTGGAGTGATAAAGCAGCTTTGGTGGGTACCTGAGGTCCAGCCAGGCTAAACCACGACACTTGCCCAATATCAAATCCCCCTGAGGTACCCATCGGCCTTCCCCATCCTTCCACATCACCCACCAAGTGCACCCATGTCCTTGAGCAAAAGTGATCCCATGGATGGGTTTGCCTTTGCCCATGGCAGGAATACCCCAGACTGTCTTCCCTAACATATTCTTCATGTGCGCTGCAGGGACTTTATCCCCTTCTGCAGTACGTGGAAGTTTTGATTGGGCAGGGCCAGCTCCATTGGTGGATCCTCTGGTGTTAACTAACCAGGTGGCTTTTGCTGGATGAGTATCCCAGTGTTTGAAGGTCCCACCCCTCTCCATTGCCTTCAGAGGAGTTTTTAAGCGTCCGTTGTACTGTTCAATTTTCTCGGAGGCTGGTGCGTGACAGTGTAACAGAACAAGTTCTTCCCTTGGAAAAAAGGCCTGTTGTTGCTCAGGGCCCCATTTAACATCATTTTTCTTCTGGGTCACTTGCCAGAGAGGTCTTATGATCACACTGATTCGGGATATGCGTACTCCAAAAGCTCACAAGGGCTAAGAAAGCTTGTGTTTCCTTTTTGCTAGCTAGTGGAGATGGAGCGTTTCTTTTATTGATCACATCCATTGAGATCTGGTGATGCCCACCTTCTGTAGCAAGTGGTAGGGCTGTGTTTCCACCTTCTTCCAGTGGATTCCAGGTGGACTCCCCTCTAAGTGAAAGCAAACTGTGGCCTGCACTCTGCTGCCAAAGGGACTGAGAAAAATGCTTCACTGATATCAATGGTGGCATGCCACTTGGCTGCCTTTGACTCCAGTTTGTATTGAAATTCTAACATGTCTGGCACGGCAGCACCCAGCAAGGGCGTAAGTTCATTCAGGCCAAGATAGTCTACTGTCAGTCTCCACTGTCTGCTGGATTTTCACACTGGCCATATGCAGCTATTAAAGGCTGAGTGAGTCTTGCTGATCACTCCTTGGATCTCCAGTTGATGAATCAGCTTATGGATGGGATCAGAGGGTCTTGGTTGGTGTGATATTGCCACATGTGCACCATTGTGGTAGCAATTGGCACCTGTTATTCTTTGACCTTCAGCAACCCCACAACAGAAGGGTCTTCTGTGAGACAGGGCAGGGTAGACAGCTTTTTAATTTCCACCATTGACACAGCTACAAAATAATTAAAACCAAAGCAAGTCTTGGTCCTCAGTGGATAATAGGGAAACCTGTAGGATAACTAAATAACTCTACTGCAGACAGCTTGGCCTTGGGAGAGCTAATGCACCAAGCTACAGAGATAAAGAGACACCAAGATGGCAACAAGACCAGAGCAAAACAACCTTGAAGGACATGGTATACATGATCTTAGAACTGAGTTTGCACAGAAAGAAAGATCAATGAGTGGACACTGTGATGAAGAGTATGAGCCTTCATCTGAAGACCCCTGACGACCACCCAGAGGCTCCAACAGACATGCGTGAAAGACATTAAGATATGCTAATTAGTTCTTGGAAAAACCATAAATATGCTAAGCATTTCTTGGAAATAGAATGAATATGTATCTTGTGATTATATTTAGCCTGGAATGAAAGGGATATTGGTCTAGGGCTTTCTTAAACCCAAATGAGGAGATCTCCCTTCAAATCTGTTATCTTACTGATCTTGTTGCTGCTGTTCTCCTCCAGCGGGTTTTGGCTTTCTGTCCTAGGAGAGAATGACTGTTGGTCCAGCTGAGTTCTGTCCATTCTGCAGTTCACAAGCTCCTTTCTTCTCTCCCCTTCCTGGGCACTAAACTGTTGCGCGTATGTAAATTGCTAGCTGTCCACTCTCTAAGACTGACTAGCTGAAAAAAGAGGTGAATTGGAGGTCCGAAAGGGTACGAAGATGAGTTTCTGCTCTGAAAGGGACAGACATGGCTGGAAGACCATGATCTGATTGCCAGCGCCTAGTGCTGGTTCAGTCTTCTGCATGTCCTGTCAAGTGCTGCTGGAAGGTGATAGGATAGGACTGAAGCCGCATGGAGGCTGCAAGAACAGCCCTGAACTAAGATTGCTGTTTTTTCTCCAGGTGCTGTGATCTGACCCCTGGCGCAGGCCCTGAAAGTCAAGGGACAGAGACCATTTCCATGGCAGAGCTGGATCAAGTGCCCGCCAGTCTATTTCCTGGAGCTATGGTGAGACTGCAAAATCAAGAAGGTGAAGAAAACACACAGAGGATCCAAGGGAAGACAAAAACAGGGGACTCTGCGGGAACCCCCCATCAGCGCAGGCGGATTTGCCAGGTGGAAATGCAGCAGGGCAGTCACCATCAGCTGGTATGTGGCAGTGGACAACGTGTGCTCCCACCAGTGCCAGTGCACCCAGAGTCTGCGGGCTCTTGCCAGGCAAAAGAAAAACGAGCACACAGAAAGAGAAAACATCTCTGTGCAGAGTAGGACGAAAGTGTGCCCAAAACTAAAAGGTGAAAGATGGAGGAAAGATGTCTGGTGAAGTAAAACTGAAAAAGAAATGCAAGAAAGTAAAATAAAATACCTGAGTGAAGTGCCTGCTTTCTGCGACACTGATTGAAGCTCTTCTGTTTCGTAAAGAGCATGAGACGCATTAGGCAATGCAAAAAAAGACACACAAGGAGCATGAGCGATGCTATCGCCCAGCCCAGGCTGGAGAGCTGGTTAAGCCACACACCTTCATGGACCAGTCAGCCTCAGCTCTGTGCCTGGTAAGAGCATGGAACCTGGAACCTTCCTCCTGGAAGCTATGCCAAAGCTGATGGCTGGCTGGAAGGTGACTGAGGACAGCCAAAATGACTTGCCACAGGGCAAATCATGCCTGACTAACCTGGCAGCCTTCTACAATGGAGTGACTGCATTGGCGGAAAAGGGAGGAGCAATTGTAGTCATCTGCCTTGACCGCTGTGAGGCCTCTGACATGGTCCCATGCCACATCCGTGTCTTTATATTAGAGAGGTGTGGATTTGATGGATGGATTATTTGATGGCTGAGGAACTGGCTGGATGGTTGCATCCAGAGTGTTGCAGTCAACAGCTCTGTGTCCAACTGGAACAGGTTGCGTAGAGCAGCTGTGGATGCCTCATCGCTGGAAGTGTTCACGGTCAGGAAGGATGGGGCTTTAGGCAACCTGATCTGTGGTGAAAGTTGTCCCTGCCCAGGGCAACAGGGCTGGACTACACCACCTTTAAAGGCCCCTTCCAACCCAAACCATTCTGCCGTCCTATGAGAGGTCTGCCTTCTAGGTACCGAAGCAATGACCAACATATTTTATGTGATAACTAATTAAACACAAACTTCTTTTTGTAGCCCCCTTCTAAAAGCAGCGGAAGTCGTGAGCATCTTTAACAAAAGAGGGGACAAAATGCCTGGGAACAGAGCAATTCCACTGCTGCTCAGTGACAAGCTCAGGTTGCCACGGCCTACAAGGAAAAACTGGTGAGGTCAAGTTCTTCTCTGTTCCATGTCTGAAGTGACATGTACGTGCACACGCCCCGGCAGCAAAGAGTACAGTCAGCTCTTCTTCCTCACAACTGCCCGGAGAACTCAGCCAGAGGGAAACCAAACTACGGTACACAAACGTAGTGCATACTGAAGGTAGGTGAAATGGTACAGCTGCTGACAAATCTCACATGGGCGGTTCTCAGAGCAAGTCCCGAGCTTTGATTAGAGGCAGGGGTGTGGGGACTGCTGTGAGGTATCTTTGGCAGCAGCGTTTCCCATCAGCCCATGGCTGTATCTGCTGAGGCAGGTAGAATGCCCTGTGTGTGAGCCCAGCACAAAAAGGCAGTGTTTTGCCCCACAGCCGTGTGGTTCCATCAAGAGGCAGGCTTGTGCCTGTGGCGAGCAGAGATGGACCCCGGGGCTGCAGCAGGGCTGTGCCACCCCCAGCTGTCCCCAGCAGTGGCCCCAGCTATAAGCCCGTTTCCATGGGAAAGCCCCTCAAGTGTTACTTGAGACAGTTTTTTCTGATAGCAAGCACTTCACCTCCTCAGGACTGCTTCTGATACAAGCAAGCGCTTGAAGTAGTGTTACCAACATGTAGCTTTGCTTACTGTCAGAAGTAATAGCAGCAGCCACCTCTCCCATCTCAAGGGAGAAATATTCTTTCAGGATTCCAGTCATCTCTTTCAGAAACCCAACTGTGTCCTCAGCAAGCCTTTCTTTTTGACCATCTTCTTTTGTCCAGACACTTTCAGGGTCCTCCAAAGCAACTGGTTCAAGCTCATAGAAAGCAGTTGACTCCTAAAAAAAGAGGAAGCCAAACTCTTGTTAAGTACCAACACACTTCTCCCACTCTTTCACATCTGTGTCTTCTTCCTTTACATATAATCCATTTGTAATATACAGTTTCTAGCCTGCAGAAGAAACACTTCTGCTTGTCATAGCCAGTCTTCAAAGCATGAGTTCACTTCTGATACAATTCTCTATGGTCCACAACCCTGCAAAAGGTTTTCAGTAGGTACAAGATAAGCACCAGCAATTCTACAGCATCTTTCTGATACGGAGAGGTTGGGTATTAAAATTAATTATTTGTCCCAATGTAATCAGCAACTGCAAAACTCTGTGAATAGCCAGAAATGACACCAGTAGCAAGCAGACAGGATCACAACTAATGGCAGTAAGTACAAAGTTATTATCACATTTTCCTACTTCAGATTACTGCAAAGCACATGAAAGTCAGCTGTGTAGTCCACAGGAAACAACCTCTGTGTATGACAGACATGTCCATTCGTATTAACAAAGGTCTTACTTTTAGTAAACAGTTTGAGATTCACGCACATGTTATCTAGATGTTCACAATTAAATCTGTTTCTTGGTTTCTGACAGCATCACCCGTATCGGTGCATATCAAGCTGCTATCAATTTATTCATGGCTACCTTACATTTCAATGCCTTTACTCCTTCGTTGCAGTGCAAGAAATGCACAGATGTTTGGAAATTTAGGCATATCAATCTTACATTTTGGAAAGAGTAAGACAATAGAATTACGTAACTGGCCCAGTAAGATTGCAGGTACAAAAATACAAACTTTGTGTCATGAGCATGTCCTGAAGCTCCTCTCCACTCAAGCAGATGTATCTCTGACTTCTCTGAACCTTCTTCTTGCTCATTTTTGCACCGTGTGCTGTAGACAAGTTGCTGGGATAGACAACAGTGAAGCAAATATAATTTCTTCCATTACCCCAGTCTGTGAGTGCACAAAACAGCAGCTGGCATTTTAATTATTTGGTTGAAATGGGATCAGACCAATCCATGATTCTTCCCTATAGCCCTTTGTGCTATATTTTAAAGAACTGCTTCAGGGTGGCCCCCATGATTTTATCCAAGGATAAAATGAAAAGATACTGCAATGACCAGTGGCCAAATTATAAAGTGGATGATGGGGAATGGTGGCCGGAATATGGGTTGTTGCAGTTTCATACTATACAGCAGTTGATGCTGCTCTGTCATCGACTTGGGAAACGGCATGAAGTTCCATGTATTGATGCTCTTGTGACTTTGTATAGAAATCCAAGTACTTGGAAGAAGTGTAAATTAGGAGGAGGTATGTTGATGCCATGTATTGAAGGGAAAGGGGAAAATAAAAAGGCAAGAATCTGTATGTTGTGCAGGGGATGAGCAGGAGGATGAAATTGCAGGCTTCTCTTCTAGCTGGAGCAATTGCAGAAAAAAGAGGTGGAGTGACAGGGCGGGGAAGAGGAGGTCGTGGGGGAAGGGGCAGAGGGAGTCTTGGAGCAAGACTGGGATGTGGAGCATGAAACGGCCCTCCTCTGATCTTGAATCAGTGTGCTGTTGGTAGACGGGAGGGCACTGGGACAATGCCTGTGACTGTAGGGAAGGAAAGGAAGGGGATGATCTGTCAGGGGATGTCAGTCTTATCCTCTTGGAGGATCTGGAAAACAAATGAAGAGGACCAGGGGAGAGCATCAAAGCATTCCCCGTAGATCTAGATGCAGTAAAGCTGGGGAATGAAACAACAGATTTCTTGATAGGTAGTGGAGCCACCCACTCAGTTATAACTAGTCACAGAGGGGCTCTCGGTAAAGTTACTATACCATCTGTTTCAGCAGCAGGAAAAAGAACACTAAGGCCATTTTTACACCCAATGGAGTGCACCATGGGAGGTACTAAACTGACTGATAAGTTTCTGTATATACCATAATGTCCCCTTTTCTTTACTAAGATGAGATTTACTATGCAGATTGAATGCTCAGATAACTTTCTCTGAGAATTCCGTACAGCTCCACATCCCACTCAATGTGGCTGGGAAAGCACCAATTTGCCTGCTGACAGAGAAAATCCCAGTGGATCCTGAAGAAAGCATCCTGAACATGGTATCGGATGTGATAATTTCCCTGGTGTCGGCTTCCCAGAAACCAGGTAAAGCAATAAATGTAACCCCAATTCAAATAGAACTGAAACTGGGAGCAAGACTAGTAAGGGTAAATGAGTTCCCTATTAGATCGGAGGCACATAAAGGACACACATTCAATCTGGTAAGTGGCTACACGCTTAACCCTTTAGACATAAACCGTTGACCAAGTCTGGGACTAGGGGTAGATCCAGCCACACACAGACTCCTCTCTGAGAGAGAGTTGAGAACGCAAAGGGGTCTTCTCTGAACCTCGTAACTCAACGGGAGGGCTCTCCTTTTGCCTCTTGCCAGACTCCCTTAACCCTTTTAACATGACAGAGAGGTTCTGTCCCTTTATAGCTTGATGGTATTAGGGTACACTGTGTACTGGTGTCTACTAGAGCCTTATACCCCTGGGGGTCTGATGTGTCAGACCATCGAATCCACACAGTCCAGTAAACCCAGTTATCCCTTTCCTCCACCTCGCTGGAGGCAGGGCCTCGCTCGTTCTGGCCATGCAAGTTACTATCAATGACTGGGTTTGTGTTGCACACACAGGCTACCCTGTGCTTGGTACTAACATCTTGCAGAAAACAATCAGAACTTCTTCCCCTAGGATCAGAAGTAAGATCAGCCCTTCTGCTTTATCTGAGGAACTGCCCACTGCAAACTTTATCTGAGGAACTGCAAAAACCAGGAGCAGCAGTTCTCCTGGGAGAACCCCTATTTATGATTGTTTTTCCTTGCAACTCACATACCTGTGCCTCTAGGGTTGAGGTGGTTTTTCCATCCCGCTTCCTCATGTCTTCTCCAAGGTCACGCAGGTAAAACCACAGCGTGCCTCATGGTGTGTCCAGTCTCTCTAGAACAGGGCATGCTTTCTCCTAATAGGTGAGATACTGGTCCATAGAAATGAGGAGTAGGACATACCCAATTTTTTGAACAGTTTTTTGAACAGGTGTTTGGAATTTTCAGACAGCATTTCCACAGCTGAGACACAGGCCTGTAGGGAAGAAGAGAGATTATCTTTGTATTGTCAGAGTTGAACAGCCACTTCATTCACTGTTGGGGCCTCTTCTGCTTTCAGCCCATTGTTGCCAATGAGTTGGCATATGATGATTCTGCACTCTGTACCGACTTCTGCCACATGGGTCATGTGCATTAGACTTCATCTAGATCTGTGAATGACTGTGCACTGTCCAGGTCATTATAAATCAGCTCCCACACAGCTCATTCCCTCAGACACTGGATTCCTCTCACTATGGTGGTCCTCTTGCCTGGGTGGCATATAGCACCTTTCCTGAAGGGATATCTGTTACTCATGCCTAACAGGAGTCACACACACAGAATGCTCGGGGTTGGAAGGGACCTCTGTGGGTCATCTAGTCCAATCCCCCTGCTGAAGCAGGGTCGCCTGCAGCAGGCTGCACAGGACCTTCTCCAGGCAGGTTTTGAATATCTCCAGAGAAGGAGACTCCACAACCTCTTAGGGCAGCCTGTTCTAGTGCTCCGTCACCCTCAGAGGGAAGAAGTTCTTGCTCATGTTCAGATGGAACTTCCTGTGCTTCAGTTTGTGCCCATTGTCCCTTGTCCTGTCGCTGGGCACCACTGAAAAGAGTTTGGCCCCATCCTCTTGACACCCACCCTTCAGATATTTATAAACATTTATTAGGTCCCCTCGCAGTCTTTTCTTCAGGCTGAACAAGCCCAGCTCCCTCAGCCT